ATTAAAAATGTGTTTTGTAGCCAGATACTGGTTCAAAGCCAGCCCAGACAGAAAAGGCTGTGAGACTCTTATCTCTAATTAATCACCAAAAACCAGAAGTGGCACTGTGGCTGTAGGAAAGTGCTAGACTTGAGCAAAAGAGCTCAGGAACAGAGCCCAGGCCGTGAGTTCAAGAACTACAACAAACAAAAATTAAAAATAAATGTATTTTCAATGGAATATTATGCAGCCATTAGAAAGGACAAAATAATGGTATTTGCAGGAAAATGCATGGAACTAGAAAAAATCATGTTGAATGAGGTAAGGCAAGAGCAAGGAGACAGATGGCGCATGGTCTCCCTGCTAAGTGGATGTTAAATCCAAAAACGTAAGGTGATACGACAGTTAACAAGACTTGAGAAACAAAGGACCCTATCTCATCTGGTCGAATCACTACTAAATAACCCCATGCAGCTGATCACATATATGGTATATATGTGCACACCAAAGGGAAACTAGGAGGAGGGCACAGAACTAAAAGGAATCAGGGAAAAACATACAACAGTGGGACCCATCAGCTGCACTGAACATTGATCAAAATGAACTAAGCAACTCAATGGCAGCGATGGGAGGGAGGGAAAGAGGAAACAGTTGATGCTATGCAAAAGTAAAGAAATGTACATATTACCCAATGTGGAAGAAATAACTGTATTGTCAAAGCTCATAGAACTCATAAACTTAGACAATTTGCCCCATGAAAGTTAGAATGTGTTTGTGACTTTAAGCATCACTATCCCACAATACTGTGAAATTTGTAAAATTATGTAATTAATCACAATAAAGGATGTGCAATAAATAAATAAATGTGGTTTGTGCACAAGCAAACAGGCTTATCCATTTAATGTTTAATAAGAACTGATCAAAGTTTGGAGCATAATATCCCCCAAAGCCTCATTTGTGAACAGTTCCATCCAAAGCTGTTACACTGTCAAGAGATGGACCTGGTAGAGGGAAGTTTAGTCACTGAAGTGTGACCTTGAAGGGCACACTAGGCCTTGACCTTTTTCTTCTCCTGCATGAGTTGAGCACCCTGGTTCTATCACATACTTTCTACAATGAGGTTTAGCTTTACCACAGGTCCCAAAACCAACCAAGTTGAGCAGCCACACAAATAGAATCTTCAAAATTTTGACGCAAAATGTCTTTCCTCTTTAAAGTTGATTTTTCTCAAGTATTTTTCCCAGTTGTGAAAGGCTGACTGATACATTTTTTTTTGGCACAAAGTCAGTCCAGAAGAGGCTACTTGGAGCAAGGAATGCAGCAATGCTTCACAAATCCAGGAGTTGGCTATACCACAATCTATGTCAACAATGCCCCCTAGAGTTGGAAGAGAGCTAATTCAGTCTTGCATGAGATTTTACCAAGTTTATCCAAAATAATTCTCCTGTACATTACTATAGTTATGCTTATAGCAGTTAAGAGGCTGTTTACTGATGTGTTGATGAAGGAGCCCTACCATTTATATAAAAATAAACTGGCATTAAAAAAAAATAAAATAAACTGGCAAAAAATACTGTTGGAAATGAGACAGCCTCTTCAACAAATAGTGTTGGAAAACTGGACATCCATATATGTAAAGACTGAAACTGATCCCTGCCACCTTGTACTAAGACCAACTAAAAATGGATCATAGACCTCAACAACAGACCTGAAACCTTGAAACTATTATAAAATAGAGTAGGAAAAATATTAAAACTTATTGTCATAGGGGCTGGGAACGTAGCTCAGCGGTAGAGTGCATGCCTTGCAAGCATGAGGCCCTGGGTTCGATTCCTCAGCACCACATAAACAGAAAAAAAAGCCGGAAGTGGCGCTGTGGCTCCAGTGGTAGAGCGCTAGCCTTGAGCTGAAGAGCTGAGGGACAGCGCCCAGACCCAGAGTTCAGGCCCCATGACTGGCAAAAAAAAAACTTATTGTCATAGGCAGGAACTTTCTGAGGATAGTTCCAGGGGCTTGGCAAATATGAGACTCAACCTAAGTTTCTGCATAGCAAAGGACAGTTACTAAGCTAAAAAAGGCAGCCTACAGAATGAGAGATCTTTAGCTCTACCAACAAGAGCCTTGAAAATAATTATGTATATCAAAATGAGAGAGGCCTAACATCCAGAATATTCAAGGAGCCAAGAAATTACTCCAATTAATACCCCAATAAATGGAAAAGGAGCTAAACAGACTCCGCAAATCAAAACATTGTGATTCCATGTCACCCCATCAAATGCTGGAGGAGCTGGAAGAGGGAACCCTATTACACTGCTTGTGGGAATATAAACTAGTGCAGCTACCTTGGAAGGTAGGTTGGAGATTCCTCAAAAAACTCAACATAAAATAAAATAAACTCAATATAGAACTACCCTCTGATCCAGGAATACTCACTCTTGGGCATTTATCTAGAACATTACTAATTAGGATATGGTAACAGCCAGAAGCTCTACAATGTATGAGTGGGTCAATCAAAGTGGTACATATACACAACAGACTTTTACTCATTGATTAAAAGAATATTGTCATTTGCAGGAAAATGTGTAGGCCTAGAAAAATTATGTTAAATGAAGTCAGCCACAAAGACATACAGAACATGTTTTCTCTCCTATATGGAAGCTGGATTCTAAATTATGAACATTATGTACAGAGTTTTACGCAAATATACACAAACCAAAGAATGATATATTTTCCGGGTGTGTGTGGTTCATACCTGTAATCTTAGCTACTCAGGAGGCTGAGATCTGAGGATCACCCTTCAAAGCCATCACGGGTAGGAAAGTCCCTAAGACTCATTTCCAATTAACCACAGAAAACTGAAGTGGCACTGTAGCTCAAGTGGTAGAGCACTAGCCTTGAACTGAAGAGCTCAGGGACAGCGCCCAGGCCCAGAGTTCAAGATCTACAACCCCTCTCCCCCCAAAAAAGAATGTTATACTCTGTAACTCCTCTAAGCAACTAATATATACCAAAAATTAAACACCTTTGGGATGGGGAGGAGTACAAATACATTCATTATATTCAAGTACACTATGTATAAACTGAAGTATGTAACTTGAGGGTAGGGATGGGAGGTAAAAAATGGGAGAATGGTCAATAAGCACTGTGAGGAAAAAGATACTGCACAAAGAAAATGTGCTCATCACCTGATTCGTTAATTATAATCCCTCACCTATACAACAATAAAATAATTTTTAAGAAGCACTGTACTCATAACCCAACTTAGGGAATGCTAAACTTTGCACAACTACTTAGTAATAAAATAAAAAATAAGGGAAGACAGGGAAGGAGGGAACAGCAAACACTAAACAAAAGGAAAGAAATGTATGTATCACCCAACATGGACTAAATTAGTTGTATTATCAAAGCTTCTAGAATTCACAGACCTTACAGACCAAGATAACAATTTGCCATGTGAAGGTTAAAATGTGTTTCTGACTTTAACTAAGTATCACAATCCTACAATACTGTGAAACTTGTGAAATTTATGTAGTCACTTAATCTCAATAAAAAATTATAATAAAAAAAACAAGCTGGTCCCATTGCTTAATCCTCTGCAAGGATACCAGTCTAACATAGTTAAATGGATCCCCAGTTTTCATACTAAGCATCATGCACATTCTCCCTACAGTTTATTAACAAAAATCATTTGTTAGCCAGGCGCCTAGCTACTCAGGAGGCTGAGATCTGAGGATCTCGGTTCAAAGCCAGTCCTGGCAGGACAGTCCATGAGACTCTTATCTCCAATAAACCACTAGAAAACGGGAAGCGGCACTGTGGCTCAAGTGCTAGTGTTTGCCTTGAGCTTAAGAGTGCAGGGACAGCGCCCAAGCCCGGAGTTCAAGCCCCACCACTGACAAAAAAAATAAATAAATCATTTGTAGGGCTGGGAAGGTGGCTCAGTGGTAGAGTGCTTGCCTTGCATGCATGAGGCCCTGGATTTGATTCCCCAGCACCACATAAGCAGAAAAAAAAAAGCTGGAAGTGGCACTGTGGCTCAAGTGGTAGAGTGCTAGCCTTGAGCTGAAGAGCTGAGGGACAGCGCCCAGGCCCCATGACCGACAAAAACAAAAAACAACTCATTTGTACCTGGTATATCCTTACCTAACTTGTGGTTTATTGGAGATAAGAGTCTCACAGACAAGCTAGGCACCTATCCTAGCTACTCAGGAGGCTGAGATCTGAGGACTGAGGTTCAAAGCCAGCCTGGGCAGCAAAATGTGTGAGACTCTTATCTCCAATAAACCACTAGAAAACCGGAAGTGGCACTGTGGCTCCAGTGGTAGAGTGTTCGTCTTGAGCTGAAGCACAGGGACAGTGCCAACACCCAGAGTTCGAGCCCCACGACTGACCCCCCCCCCAAAAAAAGTGTTTCAAAGACTTTCCTGCCCTGGTTGGCTTTGAACTGTGATCCTCAGATCTCAGGATTACAGGCGTGAGCCACCAGTGCCCTTTGTAACTGGCTGATTTGTGACACAGAATTTATCTCCCCATCCCCTTTTGATATACACATAATCAAGCATATTCAAGTCACTTCTTGTTGGCAAACCCTATAATTTTATGTTGGCCTATCATGAAGTCTAGTTGAAGGATATTTAAATCATCTATTCCTCTAAACCACTGAAGTGTGTGAAGATGATGCTCCTTTATATAAACAAAACTCCTATGCTCCCCTTAGTTTGTATGTTAAAAAAAAAAATCCAAACTCTTCTACTAGCTTTCCTACCATTTTGGTAATATTAATGTGCTTTTCTGAACTAAAAATGTATACTATACTCCCAGAGAGCTTTATATTAGTTATTATTTCTTCAACTGTGAATCCTGGCTATTCTCAGCCTTACCCTTCAACTAAAATTATCATAGCTGTGTACTTGACCACATTACCTTGGTCCTCTGTAGGACAGCTTTTACTGAACTGTGCTTCAGCATTATGCTGTTGGTATCCACAGGGAGATCAACTTAATCACTTCTCACCTCTCATCACATTGTGGGGGGAACCAGCCCTATGGTGAAAAAAGCTAACTCAAATGTTGTCTCAGTGGTAGTGACGAATGAGTTGTTATCACTTAAATTCAGTTTTTAATGAGAATGCATCATTGACAACATTGAGTAAGGTTAACTCAGGCAACTATGTTTGTAAATAAGGAAAACAAATCAGCAAGATTTTAAAATAGAGGAAAAAAAAAGCATCACATCTAATCTGTTACTTTACCTGCTAATGCTTCTGCTGTATCCTGAAATTTCTCAAAATGTTTTAGCTTTACTCTAAAATGTAAAAAAAGAAAAGTTGTTATGCATGGCACAATGATCTTCCAAAAGTTACACAGCTGGTAAAGAAATGTTGAGTGTTTCTACTATATATATTAATAAAAGAAACCTGCCTGCAATTGAAAATCAGGGTGCATGCTGGGTGCTGGTGGCTCATGCCTGTAATCCTAGCTACTCAGGAGGCTCAGATCTGAGGATCACAGTTCAAGGCCAGCCCAAGTAAGAAAGTCTGTGAAACTCTTATCTCCAATAAACCACCAGAAAACTGGAAATGGCACTGTACCTCAAGTGATAGAGTGCTAGCCTTGGGCTGAAGAGCTGAGGGACAGTGCCCCTGGGAAGGTGGCTCAGTGGTAGAGTGCTTGCCTTGCATGCATGAGGCCCTGGGTTGGATTCCTCAGCACCACATAAGCAAAAAGAAAAAAGCCAGAAGTGGTGCTATGGCTCAAGTGGTAGAGTACTAGCCTTGAGCTGAAGAGCTGAGGGACAGTGCCCAGGCCCAGAGTTCAGGCTCCACGGCTGGACCCCCCTCTCCCCAAAAAAGAAATGCAGAAATAGTTAATTCATTGTTGTCTCAGTGGTAGTGACGAATTTTTGAGTCAGATCACTTAAATTCAGTTCCAACAGGAATACATCATTGACAACAATTAACCAGATTAATCCAGAAAACCATTTAACTCTTTAAGAAACACTAGTCCTCTATTTGCCTAAACCAGTGTTGTCTAAACTAGATTCTTTCACTGGGCACGGAAACATGCTGTATAGTTGCCAAAGATTTAAGGAAAAAAGTAACAATTTCATCTTGTTCTTTCCTACCCTGACAACATTTCTAAAGTCACATTTACTTATGTCTCCCAATATTTATATAAACACAGACATTTATATTTACAGACATTTATATAAACACAGACACCAAAATATTATAAAAAGTTAAAAAGATTACTTTGAGGTCTTGACAGGTGTCTTAGTGGTAGAGTGCTTGCCTTGCGTGCATGAGGCCCTAGGTTCTATCCCTCAGCACCACATAAAACAGAAAAAGCTGGTGCTGTGGCTCAAGTGGTAGAGCACTAGCCTTGAGGTGAAGAGCTCAGGGACAACACCCAAGCGGAGTTCAAGCCCCACAACTGACAAAAAAAAAGTACTGTGAAGCTGGGTGCTGGTGGCTCATGCCTGTAATCCTATTGACTCAGGAGACTGAAATCTGAGGATCGCAGTTCAAAACAAATGCAGGGGGCTGGGATGTAGCTCAGTGGCAAAGCGCTTGCCTAGCAAAGTGCAATGTCCTGGGTTCAATCCCCAGTACCAAAAAAGAAAAGACAAAAACATACAGTTTAAAAAAAAAAACCAAACAGCCGGGCGCTGGTGGCTCACGCCTGTTAATCCTAGCTACTCAGGAGGCTGAGATCTGAGGATCGTGGTTCAAAGCCAGCCCGGGCAGGAGAGACCATGAGACTCCTATCTCCAATAAACCACCAGAAAACCGGAAGTGGCGCTGTAGCTCAAGTGGTAGAGCGCTCGCCTTGAGCTGGAGAGCTGAGGGACAGCGCCCAGGTCCAGAGTTCAAGCCCCATTGCCGACAAAAAAAAAAAAAAACCCAAACAAAACAAATGCAGGCAGGAAAGTCCATGACACTCTCATCTCCAATTATCTATCACAAATCTGCAAGCAGCACTGTGGCTCAAAGTGGTAGAGTGTTAATCCTGAGTAAAAAGCTCAGGGACAGTGCTTAGGCCTGCAGTTCAAGCCCCACAACCAACATTAAACACACACAAACACACAAACCCACCTCTGAAGGTAGAGTATCAAAAATATGCAATAAAGTAATTTAAACAATAAATCGATTACACTTCCATGGTTTGCATTAAGTTTATACTTAATTCACAATTGTGATTTCAAATATTCTACAAAATATTTTAAGGAGCTGCCCTCTCTAACTTGAGCTAATACAAGTTAGTTAGTTCAGATGGCCCATGTTATTTGAAGAAAAAAAAGAAAAAAGTTTCAAAACAAAACATTTCAAAACAAAAACCAGAATATAGCATACACAAATCAGGGGGGGGGGGAGTAAAAAAACAACATAAGTTTGAAAATTACTTACATTTTATTTGCTTTCTCTGGAGTTTCAAATTCTTTCCACAAGCTATCAACCTCCTGAAGTTTCTTCTCATTCAGAACCTACAAGAAAATATTTTAAGTTTTTTTCCCCCTAAACGTATTTTAGGTATACATGGTTACATTTTTTTTTTGTCAGTCATGGGGCTTGAACTCCAGACCTGGGCATTGTACCTAAGCTCTTCCACAATTTCAGCTACAGCACCACTTCCAGTTTTCTAGTAGACTTTCCTGCCTGGCTTTGAACCAAGACCCTTAGATCTCAGCCTGCTGAGTAGCAAGGGTTACAGGTGTGAGCCACCAGCGCCTGACTGGGCATATAATCGTATAGTCAATCCTAGCTACTCAGAAGGCTATGATCTATAGAGGTTTGAAGCCAGTCCAAGCAGTTAAATCTGTTAGCTTCTCCAATTAACCACCCCAGAAGTGGCGCTGTGGCTCAAGTGGTAGAATGCTTGCCTTGAGCTTAAGAACTGAGGGACAGCAACCTAGGCCCGGAGTTCAAGCCCCATGATGGACAAAACAAAACAACAATTATGTCTTTGGGAGCCTAAATGGGGGCACAAAAATGGGTGAACAGTTTTAGCAGTGGTGCCCACTAGGCATTATGCTGAAATGAACTAAACAACTTGTGTGTGAGGATGGGAGGGAAAATCTGGGAGAAGCCTGGTGATGGTGGCTCATGCCTGTAAAGGTAGCTACACAGGAGACTGAAAACTGAGGATCCTGGTTCAAAGCCAGGCCTGGCAAGAAAGTCTGTGAGACTTATCACCAATAAACCACCAGAAAACCGGAAGTGGTGCTGTGGCTTAAGTGGTAGAGCACTTGCCTTGAAACAGTGACCAGGCCCAGAGTTCAAGCCCCACAACCACCACCAAAAAACAAGCAAAAAAACTCAAACTGGGAGAGTGCAAGGGAAGAGGTGACATGAAAAAATAAGTGTACTTATTACCCAACCCCTCTGAATAGCACCTTTGTAACATTTTTCTTTTCCAGGCCTGGGATTTGAACTCAGGGTCTGGGCACTATCCCTGAGCGTCTTTTGCTCAAGGCTTACCACTTGAGCTCTTACACCACTTTCAGCTTTTTGGCACTGGGGAAAAGGAACCCAGGGCTTCTGCATGGTAGGCAAGCACTCTACCATTAAGCCATATTCCCATGGTAAAGAAAGGTTTGGTTTTTTTTTTTTTGTCTGTTATGGGGCTTGTACTCGATTCTGGGCACTGTCCTGAGCTCTTCGGCTCAGGGCTAGCGCTCTACCACTTGAGCCACAGCGCCACTTCCGGTTTTCTGGTGGTTAATTGAAGAGTCTCAGACTTTCCTGCCCGAGCTGACTTTGAACCGGATCCTCAGATCTCAGCCTCCTGAGTAGCTGCGTTTATAGGCGTGAGGCACCGGCGCCTGGCCATAACAATTTTTTAAAATAAGCAAAACAAAAAAAAAAAAGAAACCCTGCCCCAATTTTCTATCACCAGCAGCTTCCCCCCCCAAACTTAAAAATGATGAACTACCCGATTTACTCAATTTCTACACCAGTAGAAGCATGCCTCACAGCATCAACTGGAAACCCTGAGTGCCCCAAACCCTTCGTAATTAAGCATGTTCCTTAAACTAAAAAAAAAGGGCTCATTTAATCCTTCAGCAGTCGTCATTTCTACTTTCAACATGTTTCCCTCCACGACTTGAATCCAAGCAACCTCATCATGCCAAATAACATCCTTTTCTTGCCTTCTCGCAATCTAGTCTCCGTACAGTAACGAGAACAAATTATATCAGCTTCCGATCACTCCCAAGAACACTCACATTTAAAATCTGCGCCTAGGCACGTGCGGCGTTCAGTGACAGCACAAGCCAAGCACGTGCCAGGGCCTGGGCTCCATCACCAGCACCGTAACAGCTAAACTAAGACCCCCACTCCACACCGTCATCGCCAGAACTCTTTAATACGACTCCTGCCCATCTCTTCAACGGGATCAAGCCTTCGGCACAGGACGGGTAGGCCCCCCCAAATGGCGGGACCACGTGTTCACCGAGCTCTTGGGCTTTTCACCCCTTTTCCGAGCCTTGGAGGCTTTAAAAACTACCCACAAGATCCAGAGTCCTTTGAGCCTCTTCTTCAGTGTCTTTACGTCCCGTCGCCTGCTCAGCACCAGAGTTCTTCCAAATACGGCTCAACAGCCCACCTACCTTAAAGATGGCGTAGCCAACGGACGTCTCAAACAGCACCAACATGGTGAGGGTCGGCTAGGGCCCCGCGCGGCCCGACAAGAGGCCTTTCAAAACACCACCGTCCAGCCGCAAAACGGGCCGCCAGGTCCCCGCGGGGAGCAGCGACGCTGTCCGGCCCGCAGACAACCGCTGCGCGGTACCACGCGTTCCACACACGGCTGCACAGGAAGCGCAAGTGCGCGCCTCTCCGCGAGGATTCTGGGTGTTGACGTCACTTCCGACAGGAGAATACCGCGGAGCGCGCCAGTCACTTCCAAGAGTGTTCCCGCCCGCCCAGAAGTGGAGGGAGGGGGAGGGTCTGGAGCAGTGCGGAAATATCGCGAGATATCCGAGGGACTGCCCGAACTTTGGCGCGAGCGTGGGTCCTGGACCAGAACCTCAAAGGGTCGGCTTGCTGTCTTTCATCTACGAGAGAGCGCGCGCGTGCGCGCGCGCGCGCACACACACACACACACACACACACGCCACTTCCGGCTTTTTATGATTAGTTTACTGGAGATGAGTCTCACGGACTGTACTGCCCAGCCTGGCTGCCTCCTGAGTAGCTAGGATTACAGGCCTGAGCTACCTGCGCCCGCCCCTAACAAGATCCATTTATCTTGAATTTTAGGCTACCTGGATGCCTGTCTGCTTCGGCCAATCAGTGCTCCTAAAGCTTGCCTCCTTTTCAAACCATGAGGCAGACAACGCCTCAGAATGACACCATGACTACCCTTAAAGTTCAATTCTCCACGGCCAAACTGATTAGCACATCTTTTTCCTATATATAATCCTCTCCTGTTTTTGCAGCATTTGTTAAAATTGGCTTTAGAGTGTGAATTTCTGTTTTGGCCCAGGTAATGTGCTTTTCTGCAAGCTTTCTTTTTCTTCTTTTGTGTGTGCTCATATTTTTTTCATTAAAAAGCTGGTGCTCTACTACTTGGAGCCACTGCTCCACTTCTAGAGCTAGGATGGCAGGCATGAGACACCAGTGAGCCGGCTAGTAACTGGGTTTAAATATTCCCATTATTTCACTAGTTGGACTTACATTAGGAGTAAAATTTGTCTTCCTCACTTCCCCTATTCTATTGCAAATTGCCTGTAAACACTAATTTGCAAACTCATAAAAATGATGGAATTTCACTTTCTCCAGCTGCTACACAACCTGGAATCAAGAGGTAAGACAATTCTGGGTTGAGTAACAGAAAAGATGAAAGGGATAAGGTTAGGGACTGTACTGTTGGTTCAAGCCTTGTAATCCTAGCCACTCTGAAGGCTGAGATCTGAGGCCAGCCCAGGTAGGAAAGTCTGTGAGACTCTTACCTTAATTACCTGCCAAAAATGACAGAAGTTGGCTAGGTGCTGGAGGCTCACACCTGTAATCCTAGCTACTCAGGAGACTGAGATCAGAGGATCACAGTTCAAAGTCAGCCTGGGCAGAAAAATCCCCATGAGATGATTATTATTATTTTTTACATCCAAATCTCTTTTATTGGGATTAGAGGGGAAATGAGCCTCTGGGGGCATGCCTGGGGCCCTCACTGCACAGTTTGTTCATTGGCGCTGCCTCCGGAATCCTGAGACTTCATCACATCTGGAAGCTCTGGTGGGCTGGAGAAGGGCTCAATGCGCAGGGCCTCAAAGGCTTCATCTTTCAAATTTCTAAGATTTGGGCAGGGCTGAGGCAGGATGGATTAGATCACAAGCTTTGTTGATCTGACTCCGGAGTTAATGTCCCAGCTAGTAACTAGACCACTTCAGATTCTTTAACTTATCTAAAAATAGGCACAGTACAGGTCTCAGAAATGCACTGTACAGCCATGCAGTCTGGCTCCAGAAGCTACTTCAAAGCCTAGCCAGCCCCATGGGACTGCCTCAGCATCCTCATCTTCTAAATGAAAACTAATGCAGTGCTGGTTGTCCAGAGCTGCCCGGAAGGCTAGGCCCACTGTGAGTGGGGCCTGTGGCCGTGCTGTCTGGCAGGTGAAGCCACACTCGCCCAGCATTTTCCCATAATCTAGAAGCTGGTCGTCCTTGTAGAGCCGCTGCTCGTCCGGTGGCCGCTTGAGAATGCCCTGGACAATGCACTTCAGTTCGAACACGGTGCTCTACTCCTTGGCGTCTGTGAAGATGGTGATCTTGTGGCGCCGGATCATGAGGATCATCCATCCTGGCGGCTGCTTCTGGCTCGAAGCCCCCCATGAGATTCTTTTTTTTTTTTTTTTTTGTCGGTCGTGGGGCTTGAACTCTGGGCCTGGGCGCTGTCCCTCAGCACTTCAGCTCAAGGCGAGCGAGCGCTCTACCACTTGAGCTACAGCGCCACTTCCGGTTTCCTGGTGGTTTATTGGAGATAGGAGTCTCATGGTCTCTTCTGCCCGGGCTGGCTTTGAACCGCGATCCTCAGATCTCAGCCTCCTGAGTAGCTAGGATTACAGGCGTGAGCCACCAGCACCCGGCTGCCCGTGAGATTCTTATCTCCATTTAACTGCTCCAAAATCGAAAGTGGACCACTAGCCTTGAACAAAAAGAGCTAAGGGATAGTAGGCCCTAAACTCAAGCCCCAGGACTGGCAAAAGGGATAAGGGAATCTAGAAGCATGGTTCAGTTTGGCTGTATCTATAATCCATCACAGTCAGAGAAACAAAAACAACAAAAAATAAAGACCAGATTGGGTGAGGAACATGAATGGAAAAATGAGATGGAGGAACTATAAATATACTAGTGTACGAACCCAATACTTTTCTGTCTAGTCTCAATAACAGTGCCATCTGCTAGAGTGAAATCTTATCATATACTTACTTGTGTTTATATAGGCCACTGTTATGCTAGTTATGGAAGAAGACCTCATTGGGTAATTCTTTAAGTAAATGAATGCTTACAGAAAGTAAAATTAGTTTCCTACATGTTGTTTAGCATTGTTTTCCCAAAATGAAATTGAGCTACTTACTCAGTGAGAAATCTCTTTATAATGCAGAATTAGTCCTTGCACAGTGTCATTTACATAATCATTTCAATGATACTTCAGAACTGAATCTGATTTTAGATTTGGATCTTGGCCAATTACAGCAATTGTCTGGAAATTCCCTGATGCCAGGGAAAATAAAAGAGTCTTAGTGTTTTCTTAAATGAGTACTAGGTCAAGGAGAGACATACAAGAAAGAGAATATTGGAGACTAATGTGAAAGACTTTAGATGTGTATCCCCAACACCACCAGAAAAAATAAAAAGTTTTCTGGGTGTCAGTGGCTTACACCTGTAATTCTAGCTACTCAGAAGGCTGAGATCTGAGGATGGCGGTTCAAAGCTAGCCCAGGCAGGAAAGTCCTTGAGACTCTTCAATAAACCACCAGAAGACTAGAAGTGGCACTGGTTCTGGCTCAAGTGGTAGAACACTCACCTTAAGCTGAAGATCTGATGGACAGTGGCCAGGCCCAGAGTTCAAGCCCCACGACCAACTCAAAAAAAAAAAGTTTTTTAAAAAGTCCAACATAGGGCTGGGAAGGTGGCTCAGTGGTGGAGCGCTTGCCTTGCATGCATGAGGCCCTGGGTTGGATTCCTCAGCACCACATAAGCAAAAACAAAAAAGCCAGAAGTGGTGCTGTGACTCGTGGTAGAGTGCTAGTCTTAAACTGAAGAGCTGAGGGACAATGCCCAGGCCCAGAGTTCAAGCCCCACTACCAAAAGGAAAAAAAAAAGTTTGGCTAGGTGCTGGTGTTTCCTGCCTGATCTGAGAATCGAGGTTCAAAGCCAGCCAGGGCAGGTAAGTCTGTGGCCTGTGTGCTGACTTTGAGCCTCTTTGTGCTCAAGGACTAGTTGATAGTGTAAATTAGACTTTTTCCAGGCAACCATGAAGACATGTAGGTACAAAGAACAAAGAAAGGTTTATTGCCAGCAAAAAAAAAAAAAAAAAAA